ACTCAACTTGCCAAGTATTTACCTTCTTTGATTAGAAGGTATATTTTATAAGTATAAATTTAAATTTATATATATATATATATTATAATAAAATTTTTAAAATATCTCAACGAATGTGAATATTATAAATTTTTTCATTAAAATTTAACGATTCGTCAAACTCAACATAAAACTTTCATATATCTTAAATCACATAAAATATTTGAGATTTTAAAATTAATTTTTATTATAAAACACTTAATTTTTTTAAGATTTTAAAAATAATTCTCATAATATAAAACTTAATTTCTCTCTAACTAATGTTTGTAAAAATTTACACTGAAACATAAATCATTTTAATAAAAAAATTTCATAATTTTACCTCACACAAATGTGAATTTAAATCTGTGTTTACTTACATTATGGGTTTTTGCAACAGGAAATTTTTCATAACACTCTGACAACCCGTAGGCCCAAAATTTCAAACAAAATTACAATTTTACCCCAATCAAAGAGAAGAATTTGCATCTTTGACTACGCCCTCCTCAGCCTTTCACCGCTCGCCCCATTTCAATTTTCATTAAGTCCCATATAAAACCTTAAACTGTAGGCCTTCTTTCCTCACTCTTCCAATGGCGGAGCCAAAACTCTCCGAGAGCAGAGACGTGACCCGAATTGAACGAATAGGGGCCCATTCCCACATCCCGGACGTTGGCCTCGACTCCTCCCTGGAGCCCCGCGACGTCTCGGAAGGGATGGCGGGCCAAACACAAGCTCGTAAAGCCGCAGGCGTCATCCTCCAAATAATCAAAGATGGTGAAATCGCTGGTCGGGCAATCTTATTAGCGGGCCAACCTGGAACCGGCAAAACAGCCATCGCCATTGGCATGGCCAAATCCCTTGGCCTTGAAACCCCTTTCTCTATGCTCTCTGGAAGCGAAATCTTCTCCTCGGAATGTCCAAAACCGAAGCTTTAATGCAAGCATTTCGAAAGTCCATTGGAGTGAGAATCAAGGAAGAAACCGAAGTAATTGAAATCCAAATAGACCGTCTGGTAGTTTCTGGGGCAGCTTCGAAAACGGGGAAATTGACGCTTAAAACGAAAGATATGGAGACCATTTACGATTTGGGGGCGAAGATGATTGAGGCATTAGGGAAAGAGAAAGTGCAGAGTGGGATGTTATAGCTATTGGTAAAGCTTCGGGGAAAATAACGAAGCTTGGGAGGTCGTTTTCGAGGTCAAGGGATTACGATGCAATGGGACGGTACAGTAATCGTTCAATGTCCTGATGGAGAGTTGCAGGAGAGAAAAGAGGTTGTTCATTGTGTTAAACTTCATGAGATTGATGCCATTAATAGCAGGTAAATTCGAGTTTGCTTTTGGTAAAAAAGAAATTGTATCTTTTAAAATTTGTGGCTTTGGTGCCTTCATAATTTAGACCACGCTTGGTTGTTGCGTTTGCTACCTACATTTTGCTTCTGGAAATAAAGAAATAAATGAACTAAAATGTCGGGATACAAAGGCATATAACATTTTGGAAGAATTGAAAGTTGCAAAGCTAATATCTAATTACTATATAATGAGTTAGAGAACATCTAATTGTGCAGTTTTGAATATCATTAAAGCAAACGAGTGATGATGCTGTTGAGAATTGAGGTTCTGCAAGTTAAGAGCTTTGTGAACACCAGGCATGAAGAAGGGCAAATAGCTAGTAAGACAGATCTTCCATAAGTCAATCGGTTCTTTTCTATGATTGCAGCCTTATTCTTTGTCGTTTTGTCCAAAGAAATATCATTTTACCATTGTTTTATTATTATTAGAGAAAATTTATGTATGAAAGCAATAAAATGACAGCTCTTTGGCTGATCTGATAAAATAAGTATGATATAAAGACCATAAATTTTTTGGTTGTTGTACAAATATATTCTAGCATGGAATTTTTCCCTAGAAAAGGGAATAGTGGCGTGATATCCATATGTCGAGTGCAACTTTTCTATGCCAGTCTGTCCTAGGATATACTTAGATGCCATCTTAACTTTATGGACTTTAAAGAAGTCTTATGTCATCTACCATAGAGATTCATCTATTCTGACTCTATCAGCTGATATTTTATGATTTTTACTTTCAGAACACACGGATTTCTTGCTCTTTTCACTAGAGATACTGGTCAAATCCGTGCTGAGGTGAGAGAACAAATTGATACGAAGGTGGCAGAGTGGAGGGCAGAAGGAAAGGCGGAAGCTGTGCCTCGTGTCCGCTTTATTTATGAGGTGCACAGGCTTGATATCGAATGCTTTTCCTTCCGGAACTGTGCTCTTGAGAATGAGATGGCCCCTATATTAGTTGTTGCTACAAATAGAGGAATAACTACAATCCTTATCAAAATTACAATCCCCACATGGAATTCCAATTGATCTTCTTGATCGACTACTAATCATCACTACTCAACCTCATTCTGTGGATGAAATTCGCAAGATTCTAGACATCAGGTGGCAAGGGGAAGATGTAGAGATGTCTGAAGATGCAAAACAACTGTTGACAAAAATTAGGCATGAGACATCCTTGAGATATGCTATCCATCTGATCGCAGCTTCTGCATTGAATTGCCAGAAGCAGAAGGGAAAGGTCGTGGAAGTACAGGATATCACTCGCGTTTACAGTGTTTCTGGACGTAAGGAGATCAATACATTTCTTGATGGGGTACCAAAAAGAATACTTGTTCAACGAATGGTTGATGGCGGGGAAGATGATGCTGATAACATGCACGATTGATAATTCCTTTAGTTGAGTTGACAATTTTTTTATACTATGTTCTGTATTAACGGCCTTTATCACTTGGCATTGCATGGCTTTACTGCAACGTGTTATCTGTCGGACTAATATTATTTTGTTAGTTTTGGCAGTGCAGCGGTGAATTTGCGTTGAAATTTGTATGCAATATTAACTCAATTGGGGGGGCGGCTTCTGTTAATTGAATGTAGGATTGGTTTTCTGAACAATCTTGTGCTGCTTGTGATGAAACATCAAAAGCTTGAGGCAATGATTGAAACCCATTAAGCAGGTTTAAATTTGAAGGGAAATAGCAATCAAAGTACTCGTTTAAAATTTAAATGCAAAATAATTTCAACGCTGAAGTTGCATTTTGAACATTTATCATCAATCAAGGAACCCTGTTCCTTAAAAGATTGATTCCTTTTGGCGTGGACTTCCGTGGTCAAGAAAGACGGTAATGGCCGTTTCTCGTTCCATTACTTAATCCATGTGCTGTAGATAGTTATCATGTCAACTTTTGGGTTTTCTTACACGTCTGAAATCTTTGTCACAGTTTTCTGACACTAGTCTCAGCACTAAAGACATGCAATTTTTCATGCTAGAGACAAGGTTCACCATTCATGCATGTGATTAAGGCAAAATTAATGGAGGTTTCATGCATCACAAAAAGCTGATACTCGACAAAATTACTATGCTATAATGAATGGCTTTATATATTACCCGAAACCAGGACCAAAGATAACATTCATAGCACTTCCACAAATCTCAAGAGGATGTAAACAATCACATCCAAAGCTAAAGTTGCAGTGAAGGAAAGTCCCAAACATTTGATGTCAAATGGACTAACTAGCTGAATATTGGTCCAAGAAGTTTCAGACGCCAATATTTAATTGCAGCGATTCCCAATTTCAACCGCATTCCATGTAACTAGAAAAGGATGAGTAGAGTCATGCCATTAGTGCAGCAGAATTAACGCCTTGATTCACTGTAGCTATTATCTTCTCTGTTCAAAACAAAAGAAACGTCATTAACTTCAGCTAAATTAACATGATCTTAACAACTTTTCAAACTCATTGCTGCAGAAAAAAGCCAATATAGCTCAAGGTTTAAGCCTCATCTTAATACATGTAAATGGACATATTTTTCTTTTACCATTGTTGCGTGCAAGCAATACCACAGAAAACAAACGTGAGCAATTAAAGCATGATACAAATGAAGTTCGGTAGCTGTCAGCGTGTCAGACATCTATGTCATAGTCAGGATCAATTGAAGATAATCTAAAAATCTAGCTAACATGGCTTCTGACAATTACAAGGCCATTATTGTGTTGAAGATCATCATTGAATCACCTATCCTGAAAATATGAAAATGCTCTATTTCGTAATTAAAGAACATCAGGTTGATGTAACAAATTTTCTATGTAATGCATTATTGCTTACACTAAGTTAAAAACGCATTTACACCATTAATGTGGAACCAATGCTGTATGTTCAGCATTGTCCTTGCAAATTGGATGGCAAGACAAACAAGAATAAGACAGAGCTAAACTCAATTTTCAACATCAAAATAGAGATCAAAGACAGCAAATGCTTCCCCCCCCCCCCCCCCCCAAAATCCGGAATTCCCACTTTAAAAAAGGGTTACAATAAATCATTAATTTCAAATCAATCCAATTGAAATTGGTAAACATACACAAATCAACAGCACCTAATAGTGAAGATACTGATACCTAGTAATAAATGTGCATAAATCAGTGGTTAGAAACACCGTAAATACTTCAGAGAAAAGGACAGGTGACATTGAATTCTATTAGTTCCAAACATAAAAATTCTACCTAATTCAAAAGAATTATTTTTAGGTCTCTACCAAACCAAACCTAAGTACCATTTGAAAATGAGCTCAACGGAAGAATTGATTTGCCAGAGGGAAGTGAGTATCTTAAGTCCTTGTCATGCTTGCAGAAAGCCCCATAATTTAGTCAAAAAAGTTCTTAGTACCACTCAAAACCATCCTTTAATCCCACAAACCCTCCAAAATCCCCACCTACCCGACACCTGCAACATCATTCCTCCATCATAAAAGTAAACAAATATTATCTTTCAATCATGCATTGCTCTTAAGACTTCAAAGCCTCCCCACCTCCAAAAAAAGAAGTAGAAGAAAACACTTTTCACATGCAAAGCTAGAAAAAAGAATAAACCGAATAAGAATCAAATCTCAGTGAAATAAAATAATGAAAAAGCATACCTTTTTTTTTTTTTTTTGGTTTCTTTTGTTTTACCATGGACCCTCATCAGCAGGGTAATCAAAGGGAACTTCAGTAACAGTGGAGGAATCCCGTAGATCCGGGTGCACAAACCCATAGTTGCGCAAAACCTGATTATCAGCAAAATTCAAAGCTTTCACCATCCCATTCCAACAAGATTCCCCATCATACATCTGATTATGGTCCCCACTACAAGGCTGACAACCCGTGAAATGCGTAATTAACGGTCTCCTCCAACTCCCTTTCCCATTTCCAGCTTCCTTGAGAAACTCTTCCCTAAACGCAGCGTATTGTTCACTCACTTTCTCTGCATGTCTCCTCCTCAACTTTGGCACCCCTCTCTCAATTTCCAAATACCTCTCCGTTGTATTTTCATACCCTCCAATAATCTCAACCCAATAGCCTTCAAAATAAAACTCACCCTCTAAATATATATGATCATAATATTTCTCTTTTTCTGTATAAAGCAAATAAATCAGAGCTGATTGATCATCTGATTCAGGAAAAAGCTTATCTTTGAACGTGGATCGTTGAATCGGACCCCACTTTTTATAATCCTTACTCATTGGACCCATGCTAGACCAAGTATTAATCAAATCCATAGACCATTGGCAATTCCGAATCAAAAAAACCCCAGCATTTAAACTGGTCCAACTTTTACTTTGATAAATCAACTTAGGCCAACCATGAACAACCAAGTTATGGTTTTTATACCTTTCTAAGGGTAACTTAAACTCCATGTCTGTAAACAACGCGTCCGAGTCAACCCACCAGATCCACTCAGCCTCAGGGTGAGCTAACATGGCTGCTTTAACGACCGGTAACTTTGCCCAATACGAACCCATTTTGGGGTGTAATAACAAGTTGTTGTAAAAAATATCGTAGCCATGGATTCTACAGTAATCAACCTTGTTCTTGAAAAACCGTAAGAGTAAATGATCACCAATGGGATTCTTACATGGCTTTGGTTGAGACCCAGTTACAAGAACGATTCTTTCACGTGCTCCGGCAGCGAACGAAGGGTGATGCTTTAACCACTCCTTGCGTTTTTCATCCCAATCTTTCACCGGCTTTTCTAAGGAGTAACTCATCTCTGGATCGTCGTAAAAGGTGGGGTCTCTGGGGTCGGACTTTAAGTTAACTCCGAACCCACTTTCCAAGCAGTCGACTTGATTCTTGTTCAACTTCGACGACGGCTCGGTTAGCGTGGGGTCGAAGTTGGGGGTTGGAGTGAAAAATGACCAAAATGACCATACTAACAAAAGGGCCAAAAAAGCACAACCAAACAAAAGAAAGCCATCGGACAGACACCAACACGACCGGCTTCGAGGTTTCGCCATGGGAGAAGATTGGAGATGAGAAAACTCAGGAGACACCATTTTTTAAAAAGAAAAAAAAAAACGGTTCTTGAGGTTTTTATGTTATCAAGGGCTTTTAAGAGGAAAAAAAGCCAAATTTTGGGATGTCAAAATTTGGTGGGATAATCAAAGAAGACAAAAGAGTGGACACTGTTTTAAAGCGTCTTTGAAATTGCTTAGTCTGTTTCATCAAAAGTGAAGTTGCGTCGTTTTCGGTGCGCCTTGGATGCTAAAATGCGCGAGTTGGAACGGAGATGAGAAGGGCGAGAACTGCGGTTGAAGGACACGTGGAGTGTTAACACGTGAAATCAATGCCGACAGTTTGGAGTTGCGTTGGACTAATTTTCCGTTGTTTACGTTTAATTGTCTGTTTAATTTTGTAGTTATAGATAGAGTTTGGGTTTTAAAGATGGATTATTAAGGGCCAATGGCAGGAAGGCACCAGATACGATGACGCTTTATTTCCACGTTCTCACAAGAATTTTGTTTCCATGATTTGAATCTAAGATCTGGACTAGGACCCATATAAAATTAAATTAAAAAATATATTAAAACAAAAAGGAGTTTTGAGACAGTTACCTTAATAGTGTAATACAAGACGGGGAAACTTGGTTTTTGGCGTCATTTTTTACCACGAGTTAGTTTTTTTGTTGATGTAATTATTTTTAATAAATAGTATTTAATAATTTTAAATTTTAATATTAATTTTTTTATTTATAGACTGTAATTTTTAATAAAAATATGATTTTTGCAAAAAAAAAAAAAAACTGATTGATTCACTTTGCCAACTTCTGTATCTAAGAGAAATGCTAGTAAATGCCAAAAAAAAAAAATTGCTTGTAGCAGTAGTAAGTATTTTACCGTGCATTTTGAAAACATTTACGCAGGGTTACTCCCAAAGAGGATAAATTTGTTTCCAATAACCAACAATACCCTATTGTTTGAAAATGATTTCAGAATTAAATTCAGAATGGTAGAACTAACTGACATTAAAATAAATAATTGATGAGTAAAAAGTTTTCAATCAAAGAGACCACTGTGAAATAATTTTGCATTTTAAAATTTAGATTTGATTGTTGTGAATGTGAGGGTAGCATTTTTAGTTGAAGTTGTAAGTGGTACCGAATTGACGGAACAGAGTGAAGATGACGTTGTAAGAGCTACCTGCAGACAGGGTGACGATTCAGGCCACTGCTAGAGCCCTCCCTCAAGTGAGCTTCTGACAATCATGGCCCGTATATGGAGTCTAGGTTCCAAGTTTTTAAAGATTTTGTACTCTAAAGCCTAGCTTTCGTAGCTCAGTTGGTTGGAGCACCCGTTTAGCCTTCTGTTCTTGTACTTCATTTTGTTTGCCATGCTGTCCGTGCATGAAGAAAATGTACATCCTCTCATCACAGCGTTGGAATATTTCAATGCAAATGCTGTCACCCCAATTATGAATGTACAGGCTGTACATTAATGTAAGGGAATTTAGCATGTCTCAGACATCAAGTTTTGAAACTAAGAAACAGGATCGAAACTCGTCTCCAGTAACATACAACTTAAGGTCTTATAGTTGCTGTGCAAGAAACTTACAGCTATTTGCATTTTTATAATAAATCAACCTTGAAACAGGATGGTTCTTGACTTTGAGACAGCTGTTTGCTGTGCAAGAAACTTTCAACTGTTTGCATTGTGACGATGGGTTGAACATATTCCAACCACATTGGATATAATGCACCTACTTGCGTCTAACTAGAAAAAACAAATAAAAAATAAAAATCTTACAGAGGAATACTCCTTCCATTAATCGATTATTGTCCAATATCACTTCTTTAACATCCATTTAGATCCCGCCATTTGAGGTATACGAGTCCTGCGCGATAATGAGTGTATGCCCCAGCAACAACCAAGATGTGAAAAAGTTGGTGGCTGTGCCCGGCAATGTCAAATTTTCCGGGCATCCACCGCTCTGGTATCCTTGTCGCATAGACCAAAGCTCCAATACCATACAAAAGCCCCATCAGAACCTCATACCCGGTTGTGTGAAGTGCCTCGGGATGGTGCCAGAACAAGATAAGCTTGTGAAGAATGGGTGCTATCCCAGAGACGCCCATGCCAAAGAAAAGGGATGCACGAATGCTACGAAACTCAGGATTCTGAAATACTGGCAATAAGGAAAACAAGATTGTTGCAACTCCCAAGATGGTTATAAATCCCATATAGAGGTTAAAGAAGAATGGATCACACATGAAAGAGTAATACACAGGAGGATAGAAGGAAGTAGATATAAGAGCAGCAATCCCAGCATAGTCTAGCCTGAGCATGATATATGATAGGCGCTCAGAGTGGCAAGACAGAAGGTGGCATGTGCTGCTAGCTAGCAAGCAGAACATTGCACCACCCAAGAAGGCGAAAAAAGGCCATCGTGTTATCGGTCTCACCATCAGGGGTGCTATTATGTTTGCCACATCTTCCTTCACACTTTGCTGCAATTAGAAAGAACAGAAAAAAGTAACAGCTGCATGAATCTTCCAAGATGAAAGTCAGCCATTAACAATAAAAAGAATAGATATCTACTGCTTTAACTTTCCACCATGTATTGATACCAGTTTTCCTAGGAAGTCCAAGATGATGCATGAAATGCTCATTCATATACATTTCTCTTAAAACCATATAAACTATGTAACCATAACGTAAAAAATGGCAGCAAACAATGCGCTAGGATTCAAGCGCTGCAGCTTCTACCTCTCCTTTTATGTCTCTGAGTTACTCCTAGCAAGATCCTATTAACAAGCAAATAGTTTAAGAAACTTTTGACTATAACTATTTTGGCAATTGCTTCTACATTGCAAGGGCACTTGCTAAATAATCCTCATGCCATCTAATTACAGTTCCAGATATTGAGGTGGCTAAAGCACTCGAAATTAAGGTACAAGTAATCTGTAACCTAAAAAATTACAACACAAAAATGTACGGTATAGGCTGTTTATATGTTCAGAGAAGGTTTCCTATAATAAACAACTCTATGTTTTCCATACGTTTTGGCAAGCAAGCGAAGCCTTTATTGAATCCTGTATCTCAACAATAGTAGCACCCAAAAGTCCATTATCAACTTTATAACTTAGCACATAGGGTTATGATTAGATGCCTTTATTTGTTTGGAAAGGTTCGAGAGTATAATTGTTCAGTGGAAATTTTACTCAGACAAAAAGACCTATTTTACGCCCATAGGCCTTTGGCTTGTTCCATTCACTGACCCACAAGAACCTGCGAAATGGTTCATCACACGCTACAACAGACTAAAACCATATATTCATGTTTATAGTTCCTTGAAGCAAAACTATACTGACAAAAATAGGACAGAGGAAAAGAAATCTTCATAGATTTCTGCAAGGATTGAAAACAACTCAGACATCCATGTTTCTATTCATCGGTTGTTGATACCACAGTATGTCCATCTGGAGACAGGTACAAAGAAGGGCAAGGAGAGTGAGGTGCTCATGGCAAAGCCAACCTTATTTGACAAGAGTATGTTTAAGAAAAGATTGATCAGGTGATACCAACCTTTAAGGATTTAATCTCCCCAATAATCTCATTAGGTACCAAGTGCACTTAATTTTTCAGCCCCTTCCCCAACAACCCAACTATTCCTGTCTTACCATGAGGCTGTAAATCAGGCTGGCAGTTTCCAGTGAAAAACAATGATGATATTCACTGATTAAGAGTCCTCTTTTATAGATTAAGTTAAGGCCTTTTTCATTTCCACAATTCACCACCCAGAATCCCAATTAATGGGATATCAAATCCTCCAATAAAAATGCTGTCATTAAATTCTTGCCAAATTCTCTAAACCACTCATCAGTTAAAAGTGGCACTCATTATCTTAATTAATTTCCTGCAAACCTTGACTTACAAAAATTTAGAATCCTTGTTTACAAACTAATGAATTTATAACAGTTTGTTAGACCCCTCACCCTTGGCTCAAACTTCAAAACAAACTCAGGCATTTTGACTTTTATTGATATAATATATCTTCTGTCTCCTAACAACTACAGAATCTTCATAACATTTAGTACTAACTAATAAATTTATGGACAGTTTGCTGGACTGCTCCCCCTTTGCTTCAAATCGTAAAGCAAACTCAAACCTTTTTCTCTTTATCGATATAATATATCGGCTGTCTCCTAACAAAGCCCCCTCCTTTAATTCCTCTTTTTACCTAGCAACTACACCCAGCAGAGTAGCCAATAGAAGTCGAAAAGCTTCTAGTTATAAACAAGATGGAACTAACAGCATCTTAACCTAAACTTACTGAGAAAAAAAAAAAAAACAAACTCCAAATTTTAATGATCAAACAAGGACAAAAATAAAGGCATGAAATCGGAAACATTTTAAACACCCTATAATTTAACATTTAAGAATACATTAGAGCAGTAAAAAATAATGTCAGTCAAGTTATTCCAAAGTTAGTGGCATTGAGACAATTAAGCAGATTACAGAACAAGAAATGTAAAATGCTGGGAAAATTTCAGCGGGAATAAGCACCAGAAAAAAAAATTACTGCTCAAGTGGAACCTCAAGTACCAGCAAATGTTTAGAAGGCAGCCAGCCATCACAACCTTTGAATTAGGCAAAATCTTAAGATCTATAAATAGCTTATTAAGGATAAAGAACATTACCAGAACACAAACATCGGTGTGATTCCCAGACGAGAAACGCTCAGGCAAACAATTATACAGAAGTTCCACAACATGCCAACCTGAGAATGATGGAAGCAAATCCATTGAAGGGAAAGTAGTCTTTAACTCCTCCCGAAGTTTGTGCAAATCAGGTATATTTGGTAAGGAAGGCAGGCATGTAATGAGTTCTGAATGCAATTTGTGTAAATCAGCCTTTCTCAATACATCAGGAATATGGTGCAGAGAGTGAAGATCAACAACCTTTGGAACCTTCGTTGCAGTGTATATGGTAAGGGAAAGGAAAATAAAGAACCCGATCAAATGCCTGTAAAAGGTTAGAGTCATACTGGACATATCATAGTACAAATGACAACATATACCAATCTCTGATCTTATAAAGGAACAGTCATCTTAGAAACATGAAGGCATGGACTAGAATATGGAAGAAATAAAGAGGATACTTCAATTGATAACACCATGAAAATTACTTCACAAACTGATACATGTTTATATTTCTTCCCTAAATTTCTAATCTTCTCTTTCCCATTCCAAAGGTTAAAACACAGTTATTAAATCCTGTACTTACCATGATAAAGGTAAGTCTAACAACTGTACTTATGTATAGCACAGGTCTTTTACTCAACATAAAAGCAAGTACATAAAATATCAAACTTCTTGGAACAAAAAAAATATGTATCCCACAAAATCTAGATACAACCAACCATATATTCCTCATATAAACCACAAGAAAAGCAAGTATTCAACTCTCTAAAGAACTAAGGATCTTGCTAAAAAGTGCCCAAAGAGCACTTATCAAGTTTTTTTTAAAGAATTATTTTCATCCAAAGCATGAGAAATGAAATCAGCCCATTAACGGCCAACTACTTTGTTAAACATGAAACTAATCTCAGTCAACATTGCCTTAAAAGTACCCTAAGGGCACTAGTTCGCATTTTCCAAAAATTAAAAGGGATACTAATTGGCAAGCAAATAAAACTTACGTCCAAACATTTAAGGTCTCATTGTGAATTGTGAAGATGCTAAACAAAACCTGTTTCATTGGCCATTCTGATCTATAATGGCCCACAATATACTCGTTGTCCCTCAAATATCCAGGCAATGAGTGGTACTCTACCAGCTGATACTTCACCTTTTTCCACAATCTCTTCCCATTCCCTTCCTTTGAACAGCTCACTTTACACTTCTCCATTGTTTCAGCTGTCATATTTGTATCTTCACAAAATTGTTCCACACTGCCCATCTTTCAGCTTTCAACCAAATAACAATTCATCAACTAAAAAAAAAAAACCCAAAAATTCATTTAAAAAAGGTAACCCCCAAGTTTCTTATTTAGACATAAAATCTTTCATCAAACTCAACAATCTGTCAATAAATAAAAAAACCAACAAAGAAAAGAAAGGAAAGGGTACCTGAAATGAAGAAAATTGAAGAATCACCAGCTGACAATGAAAACCCAGATGGGGATCCTTCTATAAATACAGAATTCTCAGGCGGAGGACTCTATACAGACAAAAAAATACAAAGATGAAGGAAAAGAAACCGGAAAGAAAGTACAAGAAAACCAAACCACTAAAATCTTAAACCAGAACAAAGTCACATTCCAAGAAAGCAAAAAGACTAATGTTTTTAAGAAATTAAAGAATGAAACCTCATTTAATGAGACACATATTAGATAAGAAAATAACGGAAAAGAATTAGATTCGTTGAAGACATCTGAAGAGATACGGAAGGTTGTTTTGTTTGGATGCGATCTCGTCGCGCTGTGGGGACGGAACAAGTACGGAGAAATGTCATATAAATAAATAATTATAAATTTATAGTGGGTGGAATTATTTTTTTTAAAAAAAAACTTGGATATTTTTATTTTTGCGTTGAACCCCTTAATACTTTTTTGGATTTTGCGGTAATATCCCAACAATAGAATAACTTTGAGTCCAATTTGATTGTGATGCAATTTTGTTGATTGGGCTTTTGAATTTCTAATTACATGAAAAGAAAGCTTTTAGGGATTATGAGAATATTATTTGATGTTGAATTATTTTATATCGTTACCTTATTAAATCCTCGTTATGTTATTAGGTAAGATTTTAAATATCGCAAATGAAATATTTTAAATTTAAATTAAATAATTATGAATTAAACGTTTATTTTATTATACAATTTATTAGAATTAGGTGACTTCAATTTTAAATTTGATATGATGATTTTATTTTTTAGCATATATAAAATAACACACAATTGAATAAATTAAAATTAAAATTGAAGCAAATCATATATAAAAGTTTTTTTTTTTGTTGAACTAATGCTTTATTGGATGCGATGATTTTATTTTAAATATCAGTATATAGCCATATACTCTTGATTACTCGCAAAATTACTTTAATATACCTTGAATGATAAGACTATGATAATATTTAAATGAAAATCTTAAGCATGAGCTCTCCATATTATATTGCTCAAGAATATACATTTTTTTTACTGAAGAACGGTTGCTCGTTTTACATTACGCAGGCCAGTGGCTTAGCCATTGCATTAAGATTATCATGTAAAAAACTTACGTGAACCTTTGAATGAGAATAAAGAAGTCGAACTCCAAACTCATTTTCTTGAGCCATGTTAAATAAAAAGTCCACAAAATTGACTTCCTTATACACATGTTTTAGAGAACAAATCTAATCCCTCTTAATTAAAGATTGACACTCATGGATCACTTGAAAAATAAGGTCTCTATGGTTTGGTGAATGCAAGAGCTTCCAAAAAACCTGTATAGAGAGCAAAACTTTCAACCTTAATAATTGGCCCTTGATCCAATTTACTAGTAAATGCAAATAGCCAACCACTTCGACTATCTCTGCAGAAGCCCCTTGCAGACAGTTGATCCGGATTCGATTTTGCTGCAACATCCATATTCAGTTTAATAAACCTTTCTGGAGGATGCTGCCATGCTATGTAACAAATCTGTTTAGAAGGAGAACAAAAACTGACTGCCCTAGAATCAATAATTCCCCTTATAGAAGCCAAAATACTTTGGAAAGTATTAGGGGGCTAGAAAAAACCATCTTCGAAGATACTGTTATTCCTCCATTGCCTTATGTGCTAATAAATAAAACAAAAAAAAAAGAGTAAGCCAATATATACTCCCTTTAACTAAAACATATTTTCTACATAAATTAAAATTCAACCAATTGCCCTAGAAGGCTTGAGACTCATGGCAATCTTTAAGCACATGCAACAAGTCTTCCACCTCCGCAGCACATCAGGGACACCTAACTTTATTCGAGATTCATCTTTTGACACAGGCTCCCTTTGTTAGCAACCTATTATGTAACGCTAACCAAAGAAAATGTCGGATCATTGAAGATAACTTAAGTTTCGAGGGCCACTTCCAACAGGATTCTGACGGTAATCCTTAATAAGATGATATGCTGATTTCATGGTGAAGACCCCATTGAGAGAAGCTGGCCAAATCGTTTTATCAATTTCAGAATGTATTGAAGGAATAAAAGAAAACAAACTCCTACAAAAAAAAAATTTAAACGTAACCAGTCCCAATTACCATAACATTCAAGTAATCGTTTAACTATGTCATCCCTCCTATCCATCAGTATATTGTTATCCATGCTCTCCGCCAAAGTTTTGTAACCAATCCATTTGTCATACCAAAAAGAAGTTCTCTGACCATTACAGATCAAACGAGAACAACTTTTTCTCACCACTTCTTTATTTGAACAAACACTACGCCATACGAGAGCAATAATGCCCTTTATAGAACTATGTAGAAAAGATTTGCCTTTCAAATACTTAGACCATATCACCGTAGCCTAGAGACTTGAATCACCCTCCTCCAATTTTCATCCAAGTTTAGCAAGCAAAGCATTATTCATATAAGCTGTTAAGAGTATACACTTTTATCTTCTTAAATTTTACACCGAAAGCTTAAAATTGTCTACATATAAAAAATATCATTGCTACACATCATTACTACTTTAGCTCATAATATTGCCTGGATTGAATGTAATGATGGACAGCTTCCTGTTTGGGAGTCTATCTTAAACTATCTGTTGTATTACTTTGTAATCTAATGAAGATTCTATTTCATAAAAAACATCATTATTACGTTGTAATTAAAGAATATATGTAATTATTTTGTTAAACAATTCATGTTCAAATCCAAATACTACATCTTTTCCTCTTGGTTTAGAAAAAATAAAAAATAAAAACCTCAGCATACTCTTTAATGATTGTTTTAGAGGTCCTTTAACAATGAGGTAATAGAGATTTTTATCATATTATGATATCGTTTTATGACCGAATTCTCGTGATAAGAATCCTTTCCATCATAATGTCAAAAAATAAATAAATAAATAAATAACAAATGGATATATAATATATTAATTTTGAAATATCCAAAATCTAAATCCAATTACCATAAATTACATTTCCTAAACCCTTTATGACCTAATTGTTTATAAACGAAAATTATTATAGCTAATGATAAAAATTGCCAAAACAAAAAAAAAAAAAAAAAGAAGGAAGGTCAGTAATAGAGGAAAAGGAGAATGGTGGATTTTCCTTGAAGTTTCAACATCGGCAATTATGTGCATAATTTGGGCATCAAATTTGACATAAATTGTGACTTTGACTATTTATACAAGCCATGACTTTCTCTTCCATCTATTCATATTATTTTGATGCAATCAACTAAGTTATTGCTATTAAAACAACACAAAACATTATTAGCTAGGCTTGAATGTTAAAACTTTACAGGCTCTTAGTTTTTTTTTTTCCTTACCTTCCAACTCTCATCGTTGATTTAGTTTTTTTTTTTTTTTGTTTTAAATATATATGTTCATGCAAGTGAGATATAAACATTAATTTGTAGGTGCTTGAAATAAATGGTGATTATTAGATCCATTTCTATCCTAAGCCAAAAGCCAAAGATAAAGCCTAATTTTCGAGGTTCACAAATGAAAAGTGTCATATGTATGCTATTTGTCTTAACTAAACTCTGCAGGTGGCTGAAGAAGATAAGCATGTGTCATACAATTATATCTTTTAAGTACGAGAATTATAAAGTAAAGGGCCTGGAAAGTAAGACTAACATTATTCCCTCCATAGCCATCCTTTCTACTAGCACCCACTTTTGCCTCACTCAATTATTGACTTAAATATTAAAACATGATTTAGAATCTTAATTTAGATGTCCCTTTTTTTTCTCTCCTTCTTTTTTTTTTTTTGGATAAATTGGACAAATCGTATTTTCAAAGTTACCTACAGACATTATCCTGTAAATAAAAAAAAAAAAAAATCTCAACACAGTAATGATAATTGTATTGTATAAATTAAGGGATGACAAATAGATTTAGAAGATATCCTTGTGATTCATATATTTGAATAGTAATTAAAGACATAAATAAATTGGAATATGAATGAATATATAATTATAATTTATTCATTTATTTTTAAAATTTTTTATATTTAATAAAAAATTATTCATTATGCTTAAAATTAATTCATTTAAATGATAAAATATTTACTTTAAATTTATGTTCAATTCGATTAATATTTGTGATAGAATTCATGAATATTAAATAAATATATTCATTAAATATATAAAAATAAAAAGTGTTTATGAATAATAAATAAATATATAAACAAATTTAAAAATGTGCAATATGAGCTATTACCAAGCTTTGAGTACAACACGAACCCTTTAATCTCCATGATCTCTTTACTTGAACCGGTGAAAATAACAAAAATATTCTTTTTATATTAATAAAAAATTTAAATCCCCATAGAAGGGAGTTAGAGCCAATTAAAGCCTATGATCAAGTGGGCCAATGGCTCATTGCTTTTCAAAATTTTTCGCTTTTGCTTTTTTGAGCGCCCGGCAAGAGTTACTTGATTATCGTGCCGATGTGAGTAGATGTACAGGTAAGTTTTTCATTTTTCAAAATTTCAGATTTAAATTTATTTAAGCATTCATTTTTAAACACATAAAATATTATTTTACAATAATATTTTTAAAAATTTAAAGATAAATTTTATTTTATATCATGTATAATTTTTAACAAATATAAATTTTATGTGATACTTTATAAAATATTAAAATTTTCAACTTTTAATGATTTAAATGAATTATAATCAAAATTGTTTATAAATTCACAAGTATACACCCCTGATAATGATAGCAATTAGGAAGTGACTTCAACGGAATAGATGATAGATTGATACGGTGGTGGCTCATCATCAACAACAAGAAAGCAAGAGAAGCTTCCTTTATCCCCATTACAATTCCTCACAGATACGACCTGTCGGGCCGTGATGAAATAGCCAATCCATGAAAATTGAGAGAGAGAGAGAGCTTTTCTTTACTTTTTTGGGTACCAACGATCCTTCCTCCCTTAAATATTATTCCCTCTTTTTGTTGCCACTAATTCCTTCTCATCAAGTACACTTTATTAAAACTCAAAAGTTGTGATAAGATTTAAGTTCTTGTGATTGTGACGTTATTCGTAATGATAAATTCTTGCTCAATGAAGCTGTTATTTTCGTATGAATATTATAATTTTTTTGTTATATTAAAAAAATAAAATTTTAGTATAAATAAAAAAAATTTTGATTCGAAACTAAACTTTTAAT